TAACAGCCAATTGTATTATTAAAAAAATCTTAGTTGTGTAAAATGTAAAAGTTTTTACTGGACTATGCTGTTAATCCCTCATTATAAAGCATTAAAAAAGACAATATATAAATACAAATTCTTGATGGTGGTCTCTTTTGCTTGTGTTTGTTAAAAGAGATATCAGTTTTAATTTCAGTCTGTTTCATAATCAGACAAAAACTCCTCTCAGGGACTTCAAAGAGTAAGTGGAAAGTAATTGGTTTTACCATTGACATATTACCTACCTTAAGCAAGTGTTTTTTCTTGACCTAAACCTGACCAAACAAACTGTTTCATGTTAACCATGCAGACACTCCATTTATCACAAAAGGATGTGAGTGAAAGAGACACATTGAATGAGACCAACTAGAACTTTGAACTATTCATTAATTAATCCCAAAGGAAATTAAAATGCCAGATTGGCTCAAAACAAAAATAAGAGTAACAATTATTGTGCTTTGCAACCTGAGACGAGAACCCACTGATCTCTCCCTCATCACAGAAAAACACTCAAACAATAAAGGCTCACATACCATGAACAACAAGAACTTGCTTTGAACTTTCAATTGTTGTATTCGGGGATTTTTCAGACTGGATTTTGGGCAACATGAAGGATTTTTTATATTTTTGAATAAATTCATAAATCATGCAAAACATGGGCACAACTGACAACTGACAGTATTTCAAAGAGGCTTTTAGAGATTTCTAGCCAGTGATTGTGTGTGATAGATTGTAGATTTTTGGCAATATAACTTGTTCTTCCAGCTCTTCCCTCTAATGTAATTTTGACAAATGACCCAGAGAACTCCACAATGCAGCTGTGCTTCAGCATTAACCCTCCCTGTGATCCCCTCCAACCCACTTACAGCCATGATTAAGGGCCACTGGGCTGACATAAGAGGGCATGCTGTCCCTCCCTGCCCCCTGCTAATGTACACTAACTGTACCTATAGCCCATTATGGAGGCCAAGCAGCAGCCATTCTCTGTTTAATAGCCTCACATTTACACACACTCCGTCATTCGCCCGAACATTGTTAGTTTAAGCAAGGCGTTTCATAACTGCCTTTGTGTGAAGGCGGTGTGTGCATGTGAGCGGATCTGTTTAAAGATCGCCATTGTACGGCAGTGAAGGCAGCAGCATGCACACATAAACACACACATGATTGATTTCCAAAGGAGGAGAGGCTCCACTCGCTGGAATCAAGATTAATAAGAGGTCATTTACATCTCCAATCACATCAGAAAGAGAGAGAAAGAGAGAGAGAGAGAGAGAGAGAGAGAGAGAGAGAGAGAGAGAGAGAGAGAGAAAGAGAGAGGCATTAAAGAGAGAGTAAGAGAAGGGAGCAGAAGAAAAAATATAGAGAGAGGGAAATAGAAAAAAATAGATGGTTACGAGTGTGAAAAAGCTAATGGGTAACGATAAAAGAAATACAGCTACTAAAAACAAAGAGCCTGTAAACACCTGCACACCTTCATTCACAGCCCAAACCATCAACACACACACACACACACACACACACACACACACACACACACACACACACACACACACACACACACACACACACACACACACACACACACACACACACACACACACACACACATCATATTTGAAGTCAGAATGCCGCACAGGCAGATCAAACACTGTGCTGTTGTTGAGGTCCATATAGATGTATAACCGCTATTCTATGGGGCCTTGAACACACACATATACAGAGAGAGAGAGAGATGTTCCTCTGGGACCTGGAGAACTTTAATGACAGCAAGCTGTACTGAGATGGGGTCAGGCAGGAGAGTCACTGTTTAGAGGCACACACACACACACACACACACACACACACACACACACACACACACACACACATTATTGCAAGACACATGCGTGCACTTACACTGTCTATGACTCACACAGGCACAAAAGTGAGCAAATATATTCAGTCCACGCCGACACTTGCATTGACGGACAAAGTTAGAGGCTCATGCACAGTCACGGATGCAAAGCTGACATGAAGACTTTATTCATACATGGATGCACACACACACGCACGCACGCACGCACGCACGCACACACTCACACACACACACACACACACACACACTAGAGCAAAAAGCCGAGAGGGAACACTGGAAAAGGTATAGGATCCAATTGGATTTGACCTTGACAGCAGAAAGAGGGAGGGATGAAAGGATGGAGCGTAAGGAATAAAGTGACGGCGGTAGCCCGATGCCTGTTGCAGAGAAATTAAATGACCTTGAACCGTTTGAGATGAATCATAGATGAAGACACAGCAGAGTGACACGGTGACATCTGCACACATAAAACGGTGCGACAGACGTACATCAAATGTTGAAGTTAATCCAACATACATGCACATGCAGCATAATGGCCGGCGTAATGGACCTACAAATCACACAGCAACTTTTATTGGATGCTTGTGGATGCAATGACAGAGCTGATTAGATAGGCAGCTTTCTTTGTTATTGCTAGAAATTTAAATGAGATTTGCTCTTAGGTTCATTAAAAATCTAAAGCAATCACAACTACTTTAAAAGTGTAAATATGCAGCATTAATGCGTCAACAAAATGAATGATGAAAGCTGGCACATTAAAAAAAAAAATACTGGCTGTCAAAGTTGTTGTGGGTGTTGTTTGATAGAAAATTGCATTTACCAAGAAAATTAATTCTGTTTTCGTCTTTTTTATTTATTCCGTTTCAGCTCAAATATATGTATTCAACAAAAGCAAGACTTCTGCCAAGAGACAATTATCATATATAGCATTGAAGTTTATCTCATTAAAAGGATATCAGAAAACCAAAAAAAAACAATTCTTATATTATCAAGTAGCAGATATGCATTTCCACATCCAGATTAGGAAACAAAGAGGCTGCTCTGCTCATCATTACAACCAAATCACAGATGTGCATTCACAAACACTTCCAGCTTCTGTTTGTTCATTTGAGCACGCTCTTTAAAACATCAGACAGCTACCAGATGTGAGCGAGAGTGTGAGTAGCTCGACATGCTGCAAATGAATTCTGCACATGTCATCATGTGCAAATGTATTCTGCATTTAATTAGAAAAAATAATTGTAATTTTCTAAACTAGAGCTGAAGAGCTGCCTCGGTCAATGTGTTTAAGGTAATAAACACAATGCTGAGTTTTAGTCAGATTGTACTAAAATCAGATGAACAACAGTGTTACTGTGATGAATCTTTAACAGCCAATCACTAGGCAACCTAACATTAAGTGGTCTCCATTGCCAATCTGGTCGATTACAAAAATCGATAATAATACAATGATGTTATTGTCTTAAACTAAACATATCTTCAGCTTGAGGCGGTGAGGCATGGATTAAGTTTAAAAGCAGTGTAAACTTAAATGTAGAACCATTTTTACGATGACTCAATGAAAGCAGCTCTTTTTTTTACTCATTGAACTGCCAAACTGCAGTAAGAATAAGACACTTGATATTGTACCAATTGTGATGAATTGCATTGCTATTTTATAGCCTGTTCAAACAGATATTTATGCTTTCACAGTGTTTGCTTTATTTAAAAAGTTATATATTTTGTAAAACATGTGGAAGTTCAAAGCAATTCATTTAGCTGTCTACAGGAGAGAAGTGTACGAATTGGATTGGAAATTGGCTGGGTGCTCTGCGTAAAAATCGTTAAGATAAGAATCTAGAAGAAAAAACTACCAATGTGTGATAGGACTCCACATTAACATTGAATATGTTGGTATTGGGCCGTGAATGCATCATGCAGTCTGTGTGTTGGGTTAAAGGTCAACATATTTTTAACAGCGGAGCAATCATTTCCTTACCTGTTCTGCCCACTCTGTGTCCACCCAATAGCATGATCTCTATTCTCATCTCATCCCACTCCTACTCTTTTATCTCTGCCTCTCTTTCCATCCCTCTTGCCTACCGAGATGAGCACATTTACTAAATATTGCAGCAAACCTGCCAACTCCTCACACTTACTATCACGCAGAAGGGAAAAACAAATGAATCACAACAGACAAAGGGAACGGCGGGCCGGGCGATATGATGCAAGAGCAATCGATCAGGTCTTAGTAATCCATTTTCCTCTTCTTGGTGGTAGAGGACTCAGAGTGGGAATTTTTTCTTTTGTTTTGTGTGTGTGTGTGTGTGTGTGTGTGTATGTGTGTGTGTGTGTGTGTGAGATAGAGGATTCAAATAAAGGGACAGAACAAAGACAAAACTTTGCACAGTTTTCTGTTCACTCGGTAATCTGAGAATTGTATCATGTTCCATCAATCACGTCTACAATATGCTATCATAAAAGAGTATGGGCTGGGATGGTCATTGAAGAGTGGGTGGATGGTGGGGGGGGGGGTTGACAAAGCTGGAGAGGGACAAAGCAGTAGAGAAAAAAAAGGGGGCTAGAGGAAGAGATGGGCCTCATGCCCTGAACTTGAACTTGGAGCTGGTAGGGTCGGCGAGAGGAGGATGGGGTCAAGCGCTCAGTGTTGATGGAAAAAGGAAAAACCCAGCTGAGTGACACCAATATCACCCCACTCAGAGACAGATGGGGGGAATATGGTGCCATTTAGCAAGCTGTCTTATGAGGCAATTTTGCCATCTTTCCCTTTTTTAAAAAAAAATTCTGGAACAGGAACTGGTCTTTTCTGGCTTGGTTAAACACAACCATGCTCTTGAGATTTCCTTCAACTGAATCCCTTTTTGGGGCTTTTGAAAATTACAAATCTGAGGTAAGGATAACTTTTAAATCAAACACTTGCATCCTTCTAAAAATGGAGTTGAGTCTTCATGCGGCACAGATTTGGAAGGACATTTGAACACACATGAGAAAAAGAAGATTTAGCCTTAAAGTACAGACACAGCTCAGACATTTCCAAGCTGAAAAACCTGGTGCTTATTTGCATCTCACAAACACACTTTGAGTCAAGAGGGGTAAAATAGGTCAACCTGGCTGACTTTCCTACCTTGGTCTGGAGATAGTGGGGGTAGTAGTAGGTGTAGTGGGGGTACATTGGCTGCTGCTCCAAACGTTTTCCCATGTAGCTGGAATCTGATAGAAGGTGCTGGAGGCTGGAGATGAGGAAGCTCGCAGGTGTGAGTATCACTCCAAGGGAGCTGGCCTGGATCCTTCAGACGACTGATTCCAAGAGTGGAGGATGCAGAACAAGGACGTTCTCCTCTTACTGGAGTGTTCGTGTGACAGACCACAGAAGAAGAAGGATGGATGGTACTTAGGATTTTTTTTTTTTTTAGTCTGTCTACTTGTCTGGGAGCTCACAAAACCATTCTTCCCGAGGGTCTGGAAAAGAGACGAGGAGAATCCAGAGCGTAAGGAGGAAAAGGAAATTGGGATTGGGATATGAAAAGAAAAGAGGCAATACACGAAACTAAAGGGGGGATTGAAGAGCAGGATAGAGAGAGGTTAAAAGGAGAGGGAAGAAGAGGAGGAGGAGGAGGAGGAGGAGAAGGGAGGAATGGACGGGATCCGGTTGCAGGTTTCTTGCTCTCTTTGCTCTAAAAATCAGACTCACTCTTCTTCCTCTTCTCTGCCCTGAACATGCCCCACAATTTGCTTCCCGGCGTCTCTCACTCTCGTCTGTCACTCTGGTGTCTCTATCTCTCTTCCTGTGTATCCGATTCCACGTCTAGTTATTCCTCCCTCCCTCCCTCACTCGTTCTCGCACCATACGAGACCCCCGATCCCACCGGGAGCTTGGCTGTATCCTGGAGAACACACACTGTCCTCCGTTCGATCCCCCTCAAGACAGTTAAATCAGCAATGAACTCACGGATGGATGTGGAGCTCGGAGAGAGGAGGAGGAAGGAGGAAGGAGGAAGGAGGAGGAAGGAGGAGAGAGAGGGTGGTCTGGAGCTGAAGCTGTGACTGCCTTTTTTTTCTTCACTCTTACTCACTGCCTCTCTCTTTTGTTAAGCTCCGGGGATAAATAGGTAGATATGGCAGGAGCCTGGCAAAGGATGATGTGCAAAAAAAAAAAGGTTAAAGCCTCAGTAGAAACTCCTCACGCTCAGGGAAGCAGCAGATAGCCTTATCCAGACGCTCACTCACACAGAGGAAAATCCCTACTGATCCACAAGGTGCCTCCTCCAACTCTCTTCTCTTTTCTTCTCTGCAATCCCTCTCTTTTCTTCTCAAGCTCTCTCTCTCACTGACGGCTTGCTTCCCACTGCGTCTGGCAGCCGTCACTGTGTGTGTGTGTGTGTGTGTGTGTGTGTGTGTGTGTGTGTGTGGTAGTTATGGCAGCAGCAACAGCGGTGGTAGTGGTTGTGATGTGTGCGTGTGGGATCTGTGTGACTGTGCATGTAACTGAGAGGAGAGTGTGTTTGTGAGGCTGTTGCCGTCTGCTTCACTCTGCGTGCTGAGGCAAAGAGGGGGCTCGGCTTCAGCGCAGCAACGCTCCTCCCTCTCCCTCTCGCTCTCTCTCTCTCTCTCTTCCTATCAGTGTCTCTTTCTCCCTCTGTGTTTTCCGTGGAGCTATAGAACTATGGGAGTGGTTGGTCCTGCCCTCGTTCAAGCCCTGGGGTGTGCAAGTGTGTGAGAGAAACAGAGAGAAAAAGGGGAGAGACAGAGATGGGCTGTTCTGCTGGATGAAAGGCGGAGCTGAAGGAGGGAGTATGAAGAGCATGGAGCAGGGGGTAAAGGGTGACAAGAGGATACACAAGGCGTACAATTTGGAAACAGAGAGGCCCCCCTACTGGCACTCTACAGCTGCAGCAATGTTACTTTGTGCATGATAAAAGCCACCTTTAATATGAGCATCATAGCTCATATTTTCCATTTATTTTTAACTATTATTATATCCTATTTTCTTTTGTAAAGCATCTCACTATCGGCTGTAACCACCAGCATTGAAACAGATAAATCCAAGATTACACAAAGGCTTGAATGAACCTCCAAAAAAAACGTGTCCCTGAATGCCTCGCCGCGCACGAGAGAAGCTCCATTCACACATGCCCAGTGAAGGGCCTGTCATAGAGTGTGCATGTAGTCCATGGTTTGTGTGGCACAGTGACCCACTGACACAGAGCTGCCTGTTATGTGATGTAACCAGGTTTAAGTAGTGCTCTTACATAAGCACAGTGAGCCATGCATGAAAAGGTTCCTCTGCCCTCTGACTGCAGCTGTGTGTTCGGTGTGTGTGAGAGAGAGAAAGATAGACGTGCTGGCAGACAATGAGAGTTCACTGCAGTGGAAAAAGGGGCACGGGAACAGAATGCAAACACAAAACCATCTCAAAGATAAGGACTCTTTTTCATGCAGGCAATTAAACTACTTTAAAGACCATGCAGCGCAAACACATCGGTGTCATTGTACTATTGAGCGCACTTCAGAGTTTTCCATAATAACACCCTTGTGTGCTTTTGTTTTTTATAGCATTGAGCTTATACAATACTCAATAATGTTTTTTTTTGCTCAGAGAAGACATTGTTTATACAAATTATTTCGTATAGAAGTGATTCAACATCTGATATTCTGTTGATTTGAGTACACACCGCTAAAGAAATGGAAAAGATTTCATCCAGATTAGGACATGGAAAAGAAAACGCCTTCCACTATTTTTTTACATTAAACTAATGATGAATGTTTAAGGTTTACAGGAACCGCTTTACAGCTTAGGAATTATTTAAGAGATTTCCAAATAATCAAGGAAATATTTGACATGACTCTTGTCATGTCAGAGAAAACACAAAAACAGTAGAGCAGCTTATCTCCGTTTGGTAGTGGAGTGGTCTCTGAAGCGGTGACAGGAACACTCGAGTGGGAGAGGTTAAGGTGGAAAGGTAAGAAAAAGAGTGGAACATGATGACGTGTTTCAGCCTTATGGCCTTCATCAGGGCGTTAGAGTACTGCACAGGTGTCCTGGGATAGAAATAGGGAAGTGCTTCATTGTTTTTTCGACGACCAGACACGTGACATTCCGCGTCATGCGACGTATTTGTTCACAATTACACAGTAAAGTAAGTGACTCTTGTTTCGTTGTGTGTGAAACATCTCTCCGGGGCAAAAAAATAACTTGAAGCCTGAACTCTGAGTTTTCAATATTGTCTGCTTGTTAATTATTTGGCAAATACTTATAGTTAATAGTTTAGTTTTTTCTATTTTATTTATTCAGGACTAATGCACAGTATGTGAGATGCATTCATTTCAGTGATCTTCATAGCATTGCATTGCTCTTACAGATATTATGTTTGGTTATTAACAGTTTCAAAAGCCATCTGAAGAAACATGTCATGGCATGTTTATAATCATAATTATTCCCAACGTCATGGGCAGATAGTATTAACTCCTTAAAGGCAACCCATTCTCATGTCAAAATGTGTAACACTACGTTGGTCCACAGCGCAAAACGTAGTAGTTTCACAATAAGGGCTCTAAAATTGGAACATGTCTACGTTTCCTTTTGTCTATTCTTTTGTATAGGCATACCTCAGGTCACGTGACTGCCCAGTTTTCCCCTGGCGAAAAAAAAACCATGGCGGACATCCGTTATATTTTCAGGTTATATCAGACCCTAGACATCAAACTAAACTCTAATACAATAATTAATGATTTCTGTTACATTTTTATGGATGTCTTTCATTACAACCAAATTTAATAAAACGATTGGAACAGATCGATGCATATTAGCAACATTATAAACTATAACATGCAACAATCCTTGATACATAAAGACAATACTGTACAGTTTGTGTGAGTTATATGATTTAATAATTTTATTTAACAAAATAATCCTGACAGATTAATACTATCTTTTAAAACAGGTTTGATTTGACCACTTTTTTACAATATATATAGTCTAGATTATTTTACAAAACTTATTTGGCTTTAGTAAATATTTGATATAGTGGGTAGAAACTGTATACATTTTTTACAACCCTAATTATGTTCCCTCTATGCACAACACCAGACATAACTACCAAAATTCCCATTTCTAGAATAACAGTCAAAATATCCAAAATTAACTGATATATATACTTTATTTTAACATCGATCATATATGTACTATGCAATAAATACTTCAGTCACACAAGATCCGTGACATATTCAGTGAATATATCTTTAGTAAGCCTTTTATAATCCTAGTTACAACCTTTTTTTGGAAACGGAAAAGAATACAATTATGGCGCCATTCAGTATCAAGCTGTGTGACTTGACTCTGAGGAATTGTAGTCTTTTAGACAAATCTCAGTGTTTCCCTTACCTAAGAAGTAATATATATTTAATTGAGGGTACACAGGGGAGTTTAATTGGATGGTTAACACATTTATGTTATCAGATATTTAAAAAATAATTGATACATTTGTTAAAATGTATTTTAACCATATATAGCAGCTCCCCCTGTTGTTTTGGTGAGCTGACTATCCTCACATGATACTTTGTTCCAAGACCTCTCTAAAACAGTTATTCCCATGTCTGTAGCCCCTTTTGTTGCTGAGTTATAAGCCTTCAAATATGCCCTTGGGTCAAGGTTCAAAGGGCATTATTTCAAAACAGTCATGTTGAAACCTCAGCTTCACATAAATATCATCATTTCATAGGCAAGGGGTCTTGCAGTCATACTTTCATAGAGTGCTTTCAAAGCCCACATAAAATGTTTTTTTTTATTTTTTTTATCTTGTTTGTTTGTTTGTTTGTTTGTTTTGGTGTAAGTATATCATGAAATCTGGGGAACTATATGCCTGGAGGACAGCCTTAAGTGCTTGGTTTAGAATTATGGCTAAAAGTACAAATCTCTTGTGCTCTTGTCCATGTTAATTCATCCTAGTACTTTTTTTTATCCTTCTTTCCTTATAGAAGAGTTAATCTAATTTGTCATCAGTCATTGTTTTAATATTCAGTTTAATGTCTTTCATAGAGCAACAGGGTTGAACAGGTCAAAAGGCTTCATGTCTCTGCTAGGCCTCGAATGGTCAGATTAGCTCTTTTAAGCACCTTTAAAAGGAGTTTTTAACATTGTCTTGTTCACAAAGCATACAGCATAGTGGAGAATGACTCTGTGTCTTTTGGAACATTTTCACACTTTTTAACACCCTTTTTTGATGTTTTGATAAAAGTGTTTCAATTGTGAAAGGTTTGGCAAATTGAGAGTGGGGCCTTAAATGACTTGTGGGCTCACAAAATCTCTTAGAAGAGACCTAGGAAGTTGATCTCACAAAGAACTGGTGAAAGTTTGGGGGTTCTAGGTCAAACATAAGTGTATGAAAAAGGGATTTAAAATCTACGGAGAGGAGGGAGAGGGGGTGAGGGAGGGAGGGGGGAGGTTGAATCGATAGTGAATGCGCCCTCGGCCTTTAAACCGACAGTGGGCGTGACTGCACGATTGCGCATGTCAGCAGCACACTGGCAGACGATAGCATAATGGGCTTTTTGAATGGGTTTTTGCTTAGATTCCTGGAATGGGATCTTTGGTTAACACAGATTTAAGATGTGATTGTGCAACCAACCTTAAAAAACATCAGTAAATACCCCCTGAAAGATCTAATAAAGAGGTCACTCACAAGTGACGATTATCAATACGTCATTATTTGATGTCAGTGTCATGCGCCCGTTTGTAGTTCTTATCGCCGGCCGTTTACTTTATTGATTGCATTTTCTGGTATTAATCTAATCTGTCAGGATTATTTTGTTAAATAAAATCATATAACTCACACAAACTGCACAGTATTGTCTTTATGTATTGTTACATGTTATAGTTTATAATGTTGCCAATATTCATCGATCTGTTCCAATCGTTTTATTAAATTTGGTTGTAATGAAAGACATCCATAAAAATATTAACAGAAATCATTATTTATTACGTAGGAGCTTAGTTTGATGTGTAGGGTCTGATGTAACCCGTTTTAAGAGCCACGAACCGCACGTCCACTTCCTTCCGGTTCGTTGTTGATAGCGTCCATAGCTACCACCATAGCAACAGTAGAAAACGTAACAACGCAACGTTTTTCTATCGAGACCTGAAAGAATCTTCGTAGAAACGAACAAACTAAAGATCATAAACATAAACCGAATGAAGATTATGAAGATACAATGCACATTTGTCGCCAGAAAGGTCATCAAAACGACACTTAAGCCTCAAACTATCTTAAAATATTGCATTTTCCAACGAAAATATAACGGATGTCCGCCATGTTTTTTTTTTTCACCAGGGGAAAACTGGGCAGTCACGTGACCTGAGGTATGCCTATACAAAAGAATAGACAAAAGGAAACGTAGACATGTTACAATTTTAGATCCCTTATTGTGAAACTACTACGTTTTGCGCTGTGGACCAACGTAGATATTACACATTTTGACATGAGAATGGTTTGTTAAAGGAGCACAGTAAGGAAGTTAAGT